AAGAGAGAGAGTTAAAGTAAATAACCGTTATTGTAAAAAAGCTTGAGGTGATCTATACTCTATTTTTATGCTAATCTTATCGATGGAATATTTTTAATAGCCGATATCGAGCATACCATGTTATACTATTCAGAAGGAAATCGTAAACCCTGACGAACCTGTTAAGAATAATGGGTTAAACTTATCTAATTCTTGTATTATATAGTACTGTCTAATAATAATATAATAAAATAATAATATTCTTGATAATTGTTCAGTTTTAATTAGATTTAATGTTTCGAAAGGATGAAAATCACGTTCAAAGATACAGTTACACACAAATATACACGTTAAGCTAATAATAAAAAAAAACACGTGTTAAAAATGTATTGATTAATACATTGAAAGTGAACGTTATGCAACCACGTAGTAGGAAATAATATTTCAATCGCTCCACATTCAAATATCTTGTTCTATATTTAAATAACAAGAACCAGTTAAACAAACTTTTTTTACAAATACGACTGTTGATCGATTTTTTTTCTTCGAAAAATTTCTACATTTTGTAACGATCCAGTTGTAATCATAAAAATTATTTTACGTTCTACATTTAAATGTTAAATTGTGCAATTTGTTTTAAACATCGATCGTACCAAAGAAAGTAACATCAACGCCCAATTAAAAAAAAACAACAGATGGTATTATAAAATGACACGTGATTCTGACAAGCTCACATGCTGGTGACCACCTGTCGCTGTAAAATACGTATTAAAACCTATATTAGGTCCACACTTGTATATCATTTATTAAATTACGTCATCATAAGTCACCTTAACCCGCCATTAGAGACCAAATATGGCAGTGTGTGACTTCATTTCGGTTTTATTTATAGACTTATTTTCCCCATACTAACTTTATAAGCGACTTTGTAAAAAGGAGAATTGTATTTCATTTTTTTCTGTTAGAATTAAGGTAAATCCAGGGTTGTCACGCACAAATTGTTAATAATAATAACTTCACACATCTCACTAGTTACCAGTTACCAGACTGCTGATAAACATACTTAAATATTTCTAAATACACATTTATATATAGACACACTATAATATATAGATAAATTAAACCCAGGCACAGAACAATTACTGGAGCGAAGTTCCTTATCGCGCGTTACACACTAAGCGGATGGGAGCGAGACCCAAAAATGTGTAACAAGACTTTTTGCCGACACCTCAGTTGGCGCGTCGATGCTCACATCTTTTTCATATTTCATATATATAGCAAAAAGGAACTTCGTTCCGACCGGGGGCCCATAGACCCCTTACGCCTTTTTGTTATCCTGGGTGGGAATTGAACCCACGATCTCCGGCTTAGCAATCAGGTTCACTACCTACCACTACTATATCATCAGGCCCATCAACAGGAGTGAATACGATCACGAGACTGTAAGACCTCGGTCATCGCAACCTGATCGAAACGTCGGGCAATTAAAACGTATTTAATGTCTGTTACATGATCTCGTCTATATTAACGTTAATGTGTACTAATATTTTTCATGTCTTAAACATGTAAATTTGAAGCATGTTCTTAAACCTGATACGATTTTCCGTTACATTTAAAAACATATTAACAGACATTATTTTTCATTGAAAAGGCATTATAAACCGTTTTAAAAAAGGAAAGCCAAGAGGAATAATGTTGATAGGCCTTCAAATTCAAGTGACCAATATAGAACCTATCAAAAACACTATAACAATAGTATTACCAGCTTAAATTTGCCTCAAACATAACAAAAAAATGTAAAAAGCTATACTAAATACCTTAATTTTCTACTCTAAGAGATAGAAAATCATCTTGAAATTGAAACGGGGCCCATTTTCGGTAGAATCATCAGTTTAATTAACAAAGGCATTATCATAGTTTGTTTAGAAACGGAGCAACATACACAAGAAAAAGTCAGTCAAATTAGGAATCTCCTGCATAGTGAATTAAGTTGCAACTTCATAATTATTGTACCCTACTCTTAATTAATATCTAAAGTATCTGACTCAAATAACTTCGTCTGCGTCTCCCCAAAGGAATAACATTTCCCCGTTTTTGCTACACTTTCCTATACCTTTAGATCCTCGGTGCCTGGTGGTCGTAGCGTGAAGTTATATAGAAAATTAAAAAAGAAAAATATAGTTTAATTCTATATTACTGTAACAGTCTTGTGGTTAAGTCGTCACAGTAAGTAATATTTAGCCTTCCTCAATAAAAGGGCCATCTAACAGTAAAGGAATTTTTAAATTTGAACCAGTAGTGCCTGAGATTAGGGCGTTCAACCAAACTAACTCTTCAGGTTTATAATATTTGTATAGATGCGATGCTAAACGTTTGCGTAAAAGTAAAGCGTCCAGCGCAAGGGTTATAGAAAGGCCAGAATGTCTGACCTTCACGCGTGGGAAATTATCCCACGGTTCACGGATTTTTATTGTGGGATTGTTAGCGCTGATGCGGCTTAGGGGCGATAGTTTTTACTGTATGTTGAAATTTTATATTTAAACTCACTAGTGACATCTGTCTTGTAATAACTTGTAATAAAAATATCTTTTTTTTCAACTACCTACTTATATCTCTATATATATTCATCCCCGGGTTTCCATCGAAAGTCCCGTCTTTTATACCTCTCTGTAAACATCCCACCAGGATTCAACGATCTCTAAATAACGAATGTGGCATGATGGCCAACACGAGGCGTCAGTTATTGCATGAAAATAATTATAATTTGACACATCTCGTCGTCTCATTCGAAACTGTTTTATGGTAACTGAGAGCTGATAAACATACTTTTATATTTCTACATGCACACATTACCCGGACACAGAATAATAAAAACTTCACAATTCTCACACGCGGTTGTCAGTTCTTTTCCGTTTTTTTTAAGGCAACTCCCGCACTTGGAATATGTCCTGTGTCGCGGGGACTTTACAAACATACATAAACGGACACAGAGGTCACCCAGACTTAGAACAACAATTTTTGGATCTCACAAAGTATTGTCCCACGTGGGAATCGAACCCACAATACTCAGCGCAGTAGGAAGCGGCGAGGTGACCGCTTAAACAACTACGCCAACCGTGAAGACGACTAGTCAAAGCTTGTACCTCCCTAACCAGACTATTGCTGATAAACATCCCTATAAATGCTAAACTGTGTCTGTCTGTCTGTTATCTCTTCACGCTTAAACCGTTGAACCGATTTAGATGAAATTTGGTATATTTAGCTATAATAATATTTTTTTGTTGAAATTGGTATACTAAAATATCAATATCAGCCTATCGTAGTCCTTCGCTGGACATCGGCCTCTCTCATTTCACGCTACATCGATCGATTTTCGGCTTCTCGCATCCAGCTCCTGATAGCCATCTTGCACAGATCGTTACTACACCTGGCCTGTAATGTAACTAAAATATGAATCAAAACAAAAAGTGATTCTGTCAGCATCATGATATTGAACATTATCGAAATAAACCCAGTAGTCATTTAGGCTATAAATATATGTGCAAATTACTTTTTATTTGTTCAAATCGGTTAATTCGTTTCAAACTTATGATGAATAATGCATTATTATTACTCATCGAAACTAATAATAAAGTAAAAATTGTCGTAACATTGCAAACGGCTACGGAGCAATGTATGTACGAGTATCTTTACATAGTATACCGCCCCCTGTAGGCTTAGATCTTTCAAACTATGCAACGGATTTTAATTCGGTTTTCATTTGATTTAGAATAGAATACGGATTGTCACCCACCCTTATCATTCCATGGGTATCGTAAGAGCCGACTAATGGCGCAAACTACGCAGGACAACAGCACTGTAAAGACAAGGAGAACTTGAAACAAATCCTATACCAACCCGTCTGGACAGCGTGGTATAGTAGGCCAAAACCTCCTTTTTAAGGACAGGCACATGTCCAACAGTGGATTAGTAAAAGCTGTTGAGGATGATTGCAGCAAGTTTTTCTTTACCTTTTAAAAGAATTTTACAGCTTATTTACACATCTGTGTTCGAAAAAAATATGTTTATTTATATGCAATAATCGGCGTGGAATGCCACCATATTGTTACTTAATTATTGTGTACAATGGCGGTGTGGAGCATTGCTGTTTGCGAAAATATTACGTCACCGAAGTCGATGGACTGTACACTATATTGGACATATAATTTGACTTTTAGCTCTTTACTATACGCTCTATACTAGCTAAATTTATTACAGAGCTAAATCTCTATTCTGCCAATCAATATTCTATCAATAATATCGATAAAATGTAGCCTGTGTGCTGTTTCAGATATTATTAGGCTTTGCCTGTGTAGTACACAAGTAGCAAGTACACAGTACTACACAAATATATATTTTTTATATTATAAGAAGCAAATTCCAGCCCTTTGGGTGCCCTCCCTTTTAAACCTCCGACGTAAAATCGACGGGGTGTTATAACTTTGACTTGTCTGTGTGTGTGTGTCTGTCTGTCTGTGGCATCGTAGCTCCTGAACGAATGAACCGATTTTGATTTTGTTTATTGTTTGAAAGGTGAATCAGTCAGGAGTGTTCTTAGCTATGTTTGATGAAAATCGGTCCAAGATGGCGGCCGTCACAAAATGGCGGATTAATTTTTTTTTACAACTCCCTCACTATGGGTATCAAATGAAAGGGTATGACTAGTAGAATACTTTACACTATGACAAATTTCAAGTCCAAGATGTGTGTCGGGGGTTTTTTAAATTTTTTATTTTAGAATTAGGGAGCAGGGATAGGGTAGGCCTCTGGTAACCCCACCCTCTCGGTGAAAAGCAACGAAAAATTTGCCTATCACCGCTTTTAAAATGGTGGTAAATTGAAGTATTAATCCAGACATTAGACTTAGTCTGTGCATTACACATCTAAATATTGTGCTTTCGTAGTGGACCAGGAACATCGTTTAGTTGCCACTTACTGCTTCCTTTTTGTTCAAAAGTTTGAAATTTTATTTTCTTTTACAGGTATGGCACAAAGGCTGCTTCAAATGCCAGGAATGCAGTATGACCCTCAACATGCGCACCTACAAAGGATACGGCAAACTCCCTTACTGCGAAGCGTGAGTACACACCATATTGTATTCTCTGTAATCTTATAAGATTAAATCGTAACTAAAATTAACTATGATTCATAACCTATTACTGCTTAACCAACGCTAGCAGAGACAAGTACATGCAGAAGACTATATTATGCTTACATCTAAGCAAGTGAGATACTAGAGTAACCATTTAGCAGAGTTATTTACGTGGGGAAACCCCTCGGGCCGTCACCCCACCGGGGTTTGCGGCGGGGTGGTGTGTCGGAATCGGACCGACTAAAACCACACGGTGTGCCACTCTGCGCCTGTTATAGGAGAGATCACCATGACAACCATAATCATCCTCAACAGCTTTTAATAGTCCACGCCATTAAAAGGAGGTTTTAGCCTACTATGCCACGCTGGCTAGACGGGTTGGCGTAGGGTTTGTGTCAAGTTTTCCATCTCTTTGTAGTGCTGTTGTACTGCGTAGTTTGTCCCTTAGTCGTTCTAACGACACCCACTGGATGAATGCTACAGCCATGCAACGGCACATTGGCCGTCTCAAGCGGTGTGATACCATTGCAATGTTTTCCGGTGAAAACCGGTGTTAAGGAATTCTTTCGTTTCATTTCACCCAGTGAGTGAGTACTAAGTCCTCACCCTCCTCTAATTTTGGATACTCAAAGGACGGAAACGGACTATGAAATAAAAAATATCACATTCCCTAGAAAACATTTATTATACAAATTAATAAAATTGAAGTGTCTGTTTGTGATGTCAAAATAATAAGTTTTAGGCATGCTTACACGGTTATTTGGAACGCTACCTATGCCTAAAAACCAGGATAAAAAAAAATGTATGTCTGTTTGTGCTGTAGGTAATCTTCAAAGTGCCTGTACCGATTTTGATAATATTTTATTACCAGGTAGCTATCTATATAAGGAGTAACTTAGGCTATTTTTCCTCTCAGAAAAACCCTAAAAAATTTTGCCCGGTCTGGGAACCGAACCCGAGGTCTCATGAGCTCATGAGACCTCTACACACACTACACCACCAAGGCAGCTTCAAATTCCACTAGAACGAAGTCGCGGGTACCAGCTAGTCATCATATAATGGCGGCGGTATACTATGGGGATCTTGTGTCAACTAGGGTGAATTTCCGTGCGTTTAGGCGATTCTGCCATACATATTATAGAAATCAAATATAGCTCACGTAGGACCCGTAATATTTTGTGGCCGTGGTGCTTCCCTGTTTAAAAGGGTGTATTTACCCCATTTTACTTCATTTTGTCTCCCGCTTTGCTAAGGAGGGAAGTGGATTTACTGTATTTCCAACTCCTCCAATTTTCTTCTGATTAATTTCGTTGCGGGTTCCAAAACAGTTTAATTTCTTCCTGGGACTTCCCGAGTGTCATAACTCGGTGTGTTCGTGGGTCACTGCTGTGGATCCTGGTTTACAGGAGTTACAGTGGTGGGCGTTTGGGTGGGATTAGTCCCAATTAGTCATCATATAAGAACAATAATCATAAACCCCCGTAGTAATAATACCTTCTCTTTTCGATTGAATGGTTTCCATGTGCCTTATCTCAGTTATTACAAAAAAATTAAGCTCCGATTAGATCATAACATGTGATCAAATATGATAAGCACAGAGATTAATAGCTCTGTGGTATCACCTTATCTTTGCTTTCAAATCTGCACTATGAAACGTAAGTACTGAATCGGTCCATACATGCACGCATAGTATAAAATTACGTGTGTGGGAGCGTTTCCATCCGCGAACCGAAACGCCTAATAGCGCCTTTAGGAGTGGTCTTTTCGTCCCGCGGGCTGAAATCCCGAGGATTTTTTTTAATAGGTGGATTCGTCCCTATAAATATAATATTTATAAACATTGGATGTATGTTTAGTTTACTTTTTAATGGTATAAGAGGCAAATAAGCAGTCGTTTTACTCACAGTGTTTACCAACGCCCATGGACATCTGCAACACCAAAAGTCGCAAGTGCGTTGCCGCCCATTGAGACTCGCCCCCCCCCCTAAATTAGGGGGAAGACTCTACAGCTCCTGTAACTTCACTGGCTTAAAATTAACGAAAGATTTGCTTATTTAAATGGTAATAAATAAAGCATCGTACTTACTAAAATTTAAACTATTTTAACAACATATTTTTTTTATATTCAGAAATTGATTAGGCCTTTTCAACTAACCGGAAAGAAATTGACGGTGAAGACGAAGATGGTACCCGCCTATTTAAGAGAACCCTACACACTGTACGTCCATTTAAACCGCTCTACTATTTTGTAGCAGTTTACAAGTTACAAAATACAATGACCCTGTATGCCCTTTCGCCGTTTCCTCGCTGTACCTACCATCTGCTAAAGTTAAGGGTCAGCGCCGACCGAGAGGAGCACGCGGAAAGGATTTTTTATACAATGCAATAGTTTTAAAGTTTATTTTCGAGTGTCTTAAAAAAATGCTTTCCGCTGCCCTCTATTCGGACTGCGCTGGGCCTAGCTAAAACAGTTGAAGTAAAACAAATCATTGCTACTTTGCACTGCGAAGAACTTTCCAAACATCCTTTATGGAACGTTTTGCGGATCATGACCTCGCGACATGATCCCGAAACATATTAATAAAACATCTGCAGTTTGTCTTTAGATTAAAATATTGATTTCGTCTGGATAAAACGGTCGCCAGAAATAGCAGCTTGGACATGATATACTTACTACTAAATTATCAGAGATACTCTCTCTTTGGTTGGACAACGTGGATAAGTGGTAACCGAGTAGGTTAACACATTGCAATGTTAAGCAATCCTAGCAAGGTCAGTCTATGGATGGGTGATCATTCTTAAAACATTGAGACCCCTCCGTGCCTCGGGGAGCACGTTACGTCGGGCAATCGTTACGGACAGTAGGAGCCCTAAAAAGTTCGACAGCGGTCTTTCAGCAGAACTTCGTAATCGCCTAGTACTTGGGCTGCGGAGGTCTGATAGCAGTCGCTGCTCGTAAAATCTGAAGGTTCAGCAGTATCGCAGTAAACTTAAAGTTGACCTCAACCTGGTTTAGTAAAAAGTCTCGGAGGAAGATGACTCTGTATGCCTGAGAATGTCGCCTAAAGGTATCCACGAAAAAAAGGATGGATTTTAGGGTGGAATTGTGGTCATGGTAAAAACTTACCATCACATGACTAGCATGCTTGTTTTTACACTCTTTACCTGATAAAAGTCTGGGATTATATATATGGTCCATGAGTTACTAGAAACAAATTTGACCTTACACACGAACGCGCCTTACATTATTTAAGGTCAAGGTTACAATTAATAAATAGCGTTCATAGAAATTATTATCACATTTACTTGCGTGCTGCACGAACTATGTAAAATTAAAGTAATAATTCCTAATTGAATATATAGGCTAAACTTTAATATTAATACTAAGAATTAGGCTGAAATAATAATAAAAATTGGAGAGTCAGGCTTCAACACGTATGGGATAGCTTGACCGGAGTGATACCTCACATAAAAATCGGTGATAAGTGATTTTGTGGAACACAGCGTACAACGCTCATCAACATAAGTTATCAATGTAGTTGAGAGGCTTACTTGGTCCACGGTGGGAATCGAACCCATGACCTCCGGCTTAGCGGTCTCTAACCACTAAACCAACAGACCCGACATGTTTCTCTTTTTTGTTTTAAGATAACCTAAAAATATTAGTATCACCACGTCAGCGCCAAATATATGACCACAGATAACTTACTTAAGATCAATAGTTCTAAACCTCCAAATAATTTTATAACTCGCTAATTATGTAAAAATGTATTCTTTGTTTTTTGTCCATTCAAGATAAGTTTTATGCTGTGTTTTTTACAAAATAAAGTTCAATTTTATTTATTTATTTTATTATACGTTCTTTCACCCCCTCTTCTCCCTAACATTGGACGGGCTAATTTAAAGTGCATCAACGCACTTGTGTTTCTTGAATTGTCCATGTTCATGGGTGGTGGTTGTCACTCACCATCGGATGACCAATCTGCTCACACAGTTTTAGCTACATTTCCACATTACCACTGTTAGTTATTCGGTTAGTGACGTAATCAAATGCGATTCGAGCAGGAAAATGTAGTAGTGACTATTTTCTTCTCTTTCTGTTCACTCTCGTTGTTCTTTTCACAAGAATATTATTTCAAGTCACAAAATACTATATAATAAATGTACTACTTTGTACCTTGACCGAGAAGGAAAATTTCTACAATCTGTTAAATTTTTCCTCTATAATTCGCTCAGTAATTACATAGTAGAAATGCCAAAACTCGACGATTACAGCGTGAAGTTTTAACAAAAAGTGTAATAAAAAAGTCTTGAAGTGATCTAGTCAGTAAAAGTGTGGCCAATTCGAACGTTGAATACTTTCATTTGATGACTTATTACACGCAATTTTTCGTAGCATTTTCTAAACACATAAATAAAGTCAACTTTATTTTCGCGGGTTTCTTGTAGCCAACTAACTATGTAGCCATTCCCACAACTTAGATGATTGGCACTCCATCACTGTACGCTTTTTAAGTTCTTTATTGGCTCGCACGGCCAATCTCTGGAACAAATTTTTGCCTGCGTTATCTCCGGACCGATACGACCTCCAAACGTTTAAGAAAAGAGTGAACTCCCCCCTTTTATCCGTTCTACAGAGTCCTACACCTGTCCTGGTCCCGCTGCGCCATCTCCTTCGAAAGCATAACTTGCTCGCAGGAGACGGCGGAGAGTGAACTTCCTATTCAAAGCGTCTTGTGACTCCTAGTTGCAGGTGTTCAAGGAGAGATCTATGTCCAGCAACAGACTATTAGAGGCTGTTGATGATGATGATAATGAAAAAATAATTTAACATCCCCGAAACATCACAACCGAAATACAAAGCTGCAACCAAAATGACGTATATGTGCACATAAGGAAACATGTATTAAGATTTAATAATATTTGCAAGCATTAAAATAAGTATCTCATCGTGATTCGCGAAGTTCCATCAAGAAAAAGAGGAA